TCAGTCCTGTCATGTGCAAATGCCATGTTATTGGTCTATAATCTATATGSAATAAGAGTTTCTAATACAACTGTAGATTATTGCAAGTTTTATGAGCACACGAGCACTGATTTCGTATGAAACTGTAAACTACTATCACTGCCAGGCGCAGACAAGCAGGAGCATTCATTAGAAATGATCAACTATCGATTCCTCGCACCCTTTCATTCTCCTCCACATACTACACATACCATTACCATTACCATTACCATTACCATTACCATTACCATTACCATTACCATCATCATTTCATCTAAATACATTTTTTACCAAATATACCTGATTGTTGGTCATATTTACACGCTCCATTTCACTTTCTTTTTCACCAATCACGCATCTTGCAAGTTTTAGCTCACTTTGCAATTCATTCATCTGCAACAACACCAACAACATTCTTCATCTATCTGCATCTGCTTTTTTGCTTCATCATAAAACAGATCTACTATTCATTTCAGAAACCACTGCCATTCCAAGTTACAAATAGTTTAATACTACATCATTCTCTATTRAATGTCATAAGTTTGGATGAAAAATGTTAAACTTTGGCTAACAAAACCATAATTAGTGTTTACTCTTCTACCATTTCAAAAGGTACCAAATTCATGAACCAATAGGGAAAATCTGACATCATTGAAGCTAAAGACAATAAACATAAAAACCCTAACGAATGGTATGCGTGAGATATAGTACAGATGCCAAAGATGGATGGTTACGAAGCGACTAAAGCAATTCGAAGAGCAGAAATGGGAACGGAGTTGCATATTCGACAGCCCATGCCATGTCATCAGGTGAAGCCAAATGCTTAGAGGTGGGCATGGATGCATATCTAACAAAACCGATAGACTGCAAGCTTATGGCTTCCACCATTTTGTCGTTAACTAAGTTACAACCTAATTCTCACATAATAAGCAGCAGAAAACAATCTACTACTTGACAACTTAAAAGCAACAACAGTTGTATTGTACCAAGGTATAGCAGAAACAGTAGCATRCAGGAGCAGAATTTTGACATAACCAATATCATAAATGCATAGTTCTTTTTGTTTCTGGTGGCCAAGTACTCAGAGGTTACTAATACTATGAAATCTTATGCTAAACCGATGATTGACATCATGCTGTTATCAATCTATACAATTAAAAGATCTGAATAACAGAATCATGTGTTTTGGATGCAAAAAATAAACCCACTATTGTTGGTTTTGGGACTCAGAAGGGGACCTATGCAGATCCAACAATTCTTTTTCCCAATTCTTATATAAATGGTAGTCTCTATAAACATATAATGACAACATACAGGAGCAGAATTTTGACATAACCAAGTTTAGAGACTTGCATCCTTTCAAAGCAAGAAATGTATACGTGTTATTTTGCTTTATATATACACAAGTTGAGAGAGTCACACATGACACATGTTTCAGTATGGATGAACAAAATGGACAGACATCTTATTGTTTTGCAACTTTTGCCCAGTTAATGCATGCTTTTTATATGAAAAACCATGATTATCACATTCTTTCTAACAATCGCTTCATAAATCCCTTATTCGTGACAAAAGCAAAATCA